GTGCCAATGTATTTATCCACAACCCACATATTTGTTTTCTTCTTCCTCGCATGCAGCATCCAATTACAACCCGTAAACCATCTACAACAAATAAGCTTGTATACATCCGGAGATGACTCACATACCATCATCTCACAACACTCTTTTACGCTATACATTTTTACCGCCCTGCTTAGGCGCGTTTTATAAGGAAAAAACATGTCTTTTGGAAGCACCGTTAGTCTAGATTCATTCTACATTACTGTCCGAATTTCATCAATATCCCTTGCTAGGGAATCCATATCCGGTATACTTGGCAAATGATCAAGGTAGGGAATATGCCTTGAATGAAACGGCATGTGAGACTCGTACACTGTTGGTCTAACGGGAGGTGGAACATGCTCTCTCATCAAATCAAGTTCAACATTCTCTTTCTCCTTATCATCACCCTCGTCAAGGAAGGGTGTGTCATCTCCAGACTTATCGACATTGTTGTCATAATCACTATTCTCTTCCTGACTCTGCGCATCTACCAGATCCCGATTAAATATGCCGTCTTCGGGCAATTAAGTAAGGACAAGACCATCAAGTTGCTCATTTTCACTGTACAACTAAAGAAATAACGAGTTACTCAAATTGGTCCAAACTATAGATATAACTTTATATATTCACTTACAAATCATAATGTGTTGATATCCCATGATGCACATTATCTTGTTGATGCTGACTCCCGGATGGATCATCATGATCAAACACACCAAAATTTGGCATATTCCAACTGGACGTTGGTTCATAACTTGTAAAATTCATATCTGGTCGGTATGCCATGTGGAATATATGAGTGTTAATACAAATATAATACATAAAAATATACATCGTAACACAAAGAAAAATTAAAGTTAACCACTCGGCTTGTGAATTATGTAACCTAGGGAAGAAATTATTTTCCGCTCCTCATTCGCCCGTGGAGATAAGTTTAGATCCGGCCAAACTCTTTTAGCCGGAACCTGTTCGGCTAAAACTGCTCCAAAATATGATTGAGGGATATCCCTACTTTGCGCAACCTCATTATTACGAACGCCTTCAACCTTGACATACATTTCCAATAGTTTTATCACAATAAATTTTCGGTATTCATCCGGAGTCCTCAAAAAATCTCTCAGAGTTTCATCGTCTTCGATGTTAAACTCAGCATAACAAGCAACCCCTTGCGGAGTCATAGAATACAAATATCTTCCGGTTACTTTAAGATTCACCAAATGTTTGCTCACACTCATTTTTTTACATAACAACGATACCAATGTATCGTACTCTATTGTCAGTGGCTACTTAACATGACACTGTTGAGATAAACTATAGCTTACTGAGTTATTCGCCACCACAACCTCATCCCCCCAATATAATGAAATCCTAATTCTTTGCTCTTCAGACATTATGACAAAATGCAAAACAACTTGACGAAGAAAATTTTTACAAGACTTGAGAATATTTCTGAATGGAATTTTACAAAATACTTAACGTCTTTAAATAAGGTAAAACCTAATCCGGGGGTTCAATTATTTGAGGTATAGCGTATTAGCTTAAGGCGCTATACCCAGTTGAATTATTGTTATGTCAGTTAAGCCCAGAAGAATTATTTGTGGTCCCACATAATATAAATAGCGTCTTACTAAAGAACATTATATATAGCGTCTTTTAAAAAGACGCTATATATAAATTGGTCACCATATTTTTTTTCTATACATTTTAGTTCTTTGAGTCCAAAAGAACTACATTTTGGTTCCGGACTCCATTTAATATGTATATTAACTACACATATTTGATATTTATTGATTTGACGTAAACATCGAATAAGATATATTTCTTTTGCCTAAAATATCACTAGTTCAAAAAGATTATCATTATAAATGGTTTTTTTTTTTAGTTATGTAGCTCTTTTAACCAGATATTGGTAATAAAAGTAGTAGATCCATCATTGTTTTTCAATTCAAATTATAACTAGACATATGAGATCATTTTATCACTATACATCCGCGGAGAAAATTTCTAGATATACATACAGTATTATCTCTTTGCAAAAGTTTGTATAAATTAATCATGATTAATGACTATATTTTAGCTCTACATATCACTTAAACATAATTATAGTAAATTGGTATATGTTAATTTGATATAAATATTGAATGCACCTAATTCTTTTCCTATTTCTCATCCTCGCTGACTTCGTTGATCTTTTATTTTCCGTTTAATGTTGGCAAATGTGAAAATTTGTTATGTGATAAGGAGGTTGTTGGTTTAAATCGTGAAAATAACCTCTTACAAAAATGTAAATTAAAACTTCACACATAAAATCCACTACAGTCTGGTCCTTATAAGAATTCCACACATAGCGAGAATTTAATATACTAAACTGCCTCTTTAGAGAATATATTCATATATAATAGTTATTTATAGTGTAACTCTTATAAAAAAAAATTTGATTCGTGTAGCCAAAAACATGACTTTTTAATGAAGTAAATAATTGTGCGAAATAATACGATCATCTAAAGCGGAGTCGAAAATGTTTTAGGTAACATAGACATTGCTTAACATAGGAGGGAAAATTTGTTATATTCACATTTAGAAGGAAATTTGATTTTTAAGCAAAGTTGAAGAGAAAAAATGAGTTTTGCCAGAAATACATTTATAGTTTTACAGAAGAATTAACCTAAATAGTCGTTCATCCAACAGTTTAAATTAAATATAGCCAACGAATATATAATATATGTATAAGCTATATATAATAAGTATATAATCTATGTATACCGACTACATAAACTAGATAGTAAATCCAGTCGGCTTTTTGTATAATGATCCCTAGTTTATGTAAAAATAGTACGGTATAGCCAGTTTTCGGACTAATCATTCAAAAATAGCCAGCGTTTACGAAGTCAATGAAAAATAGCAACAGAGACCGGTCCAGCATAATATACTGGAGTTCGGTGCACCTGTGTATGAACTCCAGCATATTATGCTGGACCGGTATACTTTGCTGGAACTCCAGTATACTATGCTAGGGTTCTAGTGTACTTATGCTGGAACTCCAACATAAGTACTGGAGTTCGGTGCACCTGTGTATGAACTCCAGCATATTATGCTGGACCGGTATACTTTGCTGGAACTCCAGTATACTATGCTAGGGTTCTAGTGTACTTATGCTGGAACTCCAACATAAGTACTGGAGTTCGGTGCACCTGTGTATGAACTCCAGCATATTATGCTGGAGTTCCAGCATACTTATCCTGGAACTCCAGTATAATATGCTGGAGTTCAAGCATACTTATGCTGGAACTCCAGTATAATATAGTGGCGTATTTTTCGGGTTTTGAACAGTGTTTTCGCTCAAATTTATTTTACATGAAAAGTGGCTAAATTTTAATCACTTTTAAAACTGGGCTATTTTTAAGCGACCGGTTATAAATCTGGCTATTTTTGAATTTCTCCCCTAGTTTATACACGCAAGCCCGCATAGGCGAGCATTCACCTCTTTATGTGTAGCCCAAATATAATTTCGTCCACCATGTTATACAAAGTGTTCATGGAGAGAGATAGAGATCCATAGTTGGATAAACAGCAGTTGGCCCTATATTTTGGCCCAACAAACAGCTTGGCCAATTTCTCTTGGGTGATTGATACAAAAGGAACTTTTTGGAGCAGGTCTTAGAGAAATCTTCTTAAAATTGGCGGTATTTAAAAAATGACCTCGGAATCGCGCACAACTCTTCAGGAGTTTCTCTAATGGATCAAATTGTTCATCGAAGTATATCGGATTGTCATACTTTTGCTCTTTAAGATTTCGCTACCGAATTGGTAGAGTTGACACTATTATTACTCTATCTGTACGTTAAGAAGATTACTGGATTGTCATGCTTCTACTCTTCAGGTATTTCTTTATCGGTTAGTAGAGTTGATGCTATATCTTTTCTACTCATCTGTTAAGTTGTTCATCGAAATCTACCGGATTGACACACTTTTTCTAAGTTGTTTTAACAGAGTGTTCTTCACCTTTGCAACTTTAATTTCGATCAAATCATCCCAAATCTGCTCCAAAATGATCTCAAATTTGAAACAGAGCTTCCAAGTACCAACAGAAACAATTCTCAATCACCAATTTAGTCGAATAACACCAAATAAAAAAGACCTACTTTGTCTTTTTCAATATTTTCTATGGTGCAACTGTAGAGTATTGAGATTTTTACGGTAAATCACCAAAATCAATGTTTGAACTAAAAGCCAAGCACAAATTATCAACATTCAAACGATTTTTAAAATAATCAATCATTAACTTTTATTTCCCACCACCAAACAAGAATTTCAACCTTTAAAATTGAAAAGCTATGATGTTAAAGTTAAAAAGGGACATGTTGCTACGACCGTGAAAAATGGGAACATTATGCCAATTTCAGATTTCTCTCTCACCATTTAAGCAGCCCAAAGGTTCACTGCAGCAGATCTGGCCCAAATTCTCTTTCGAGAGAACTCAGTCCACACATCTTTTCTTTTATTTAGAAGAATTAACACAAATAGCCGTCTATTTAATTTTTAAATTAAAAATAGCCAACAAATATATAATATATGTATAATAAATATATTATATGTGTATAACTGTGTACAGTTAATATATAATTTATGTATACCAACTAAAAAAATAAATAGTAAAGTTGGGCGGCTATTTGTTTAACAATCCCTTTTATTTATTGTTTTTCCTAAACCTATGAAAAATTGACACTGCTCAGTTATATTGGAATTTTCTTCCATATTCATGATGATGAGACATGCAAAAAAATATTTTTTAAAAATCAAACAAGAAGACTAATGATGGAAAAAGGTATTATTTTAAAATAAATTGCATACTACCTCTATGATTAAACCAATATATTTTAAAAGAAGAAGCAATAAAGAAATTGAACTAAAAGTCCTATGAAGTTTCCTACATCCTTCCTACTACCTTCCTTTCATAGTTCTATTTAATCAACTTTATTACATCTACCAAATGAAAGAGAAAGAAAACAATACACTATAGACATAGACAAGAGTTAGGTCTATTAATTTTTCTTCTTTCTTATTTCCTTTTTTGAGTTTTGAGTTCAAAAAATGGCAGGTATGCTTGCTGGTGTTGAATGTGCTAGAAGAAGAAAGTTTCATAAAAACAGTGGCTTATTAGATTCATCATATAATACATCTGGTTTTTCATCCACAAGGAAGTCTTTTCTTTGTCTCTACACAAGCAGCCACGAACATATTCTTAGCTCAAGCTTTTCTAAGGTACTAATTCCTTTCCTATCCCCTAGTAATAGCTACTGTGTGGTCGAAGGATGGTTAGTTGAACACTTTTCGTCGAAGAAGAAAAATTGTAATTTGTTATATATATAGGTCAAATTCTTTCTCCTATTTGTGTCTCTTTTGTCTAATTGAATTGGATGTACATATAAAGTCGAATCTACGATGAATCTTGTACTTGAATCCATTTCTTTCTGTTTGAACTATATGTACATACGCTAAAAATATTTAAAGTATATACTTATAATAAGATCATACTTGATTAAATCCACCGTATCTAAATCTTGAATTCGCCTCTATGTACCTTCCCAAATAAAGATCTTGTGTTTGTAAAGGCATGATAATAAAAATTCTTGTGTTATTTGAATGAATAGGAAAGAAGTGCAACAAGCCAAGAATATGAAGATGAGAAACTAGGAGAAGTTGCTAGAGAAGCCAAGCAAAGGCTAGATGAGAGGCTTAGTGCCCAATGGAAATCACAAGATAAGAGGTGAAAATCGTTCTAAATTTCTTGATGGCGCACTTTAGCAGAACCTCATACTACTTGCTAACTTGCGCCCCCTCCCCCCACCTACCCCCACTACTCCCCCATGCTTGTCTTTGACCCTTTATCTTAATGGTGCTGATTGTGTTTTTCTTTTTTGTGTAATTGATTTCAGGGGTGTTAAGGGATTGAAAAGGCTGGGACAATGGAGGGGGGTGATTTGCTGATACACAAATGTTTGGATCAAAGAAGTTGCAGTTGAGGAAAACTGTTTCTAAAGGATATGAAAAATGAATGTATCATTTGCTAGCACTAATTCACAATGGCAATTTTGATTACTAGAGTGTATATATATTTTCCCCTTTAGGGGTGCCCAAGATTTCTAAATTATAAAAGTCTAAGCTTTCTTGTACAACAACAACAAGCTCAATATAATTTCACAAATGAATTTTGAGGATCTACGTATACCCTAATTTGTGACAGTGGAGAGAAAAGTCTAAGCTTTCTTGTAATCAAGCAAATTGACTAGCTTGTGGGTTTTTGAGAAATGCTTTCTTGTAATCAAGCTGATTGACTAGCTAATGAGCTTTTAAAATATGGTCTTTGGAAATATTGGGCTTTTATTAGAAGTTTCATACACGTCTGTCTATTCAATTTTTTCTACTTAATTTTTCGAGTTCTTGGAAAGATAATGTTTCAAGAATTGGGCGTGCATATGTGGTGAACCGAAAGGTCATCTCATGTTTTAAAATTCAATTTTGTGCTTTTGAGCTTTAAACATCTTATTTTATCCCTCCTCGATTTGCGTGCGCAGGACGAACATGTTTCTAGAAAGTTTTTATGTTAAAAAATTGATAAAAATAAGAATTTTGCCTAAAAATTTCATTTGAGTTGACTTCGGTAACATTTTGAGTAAACGGGCCCGGATTCGTATTTTGACATTCCCGATGGGTTCGTATCGTGATTTGGGACTTGGGCGTATGCTCGAAATCGAAAGTCCCTAGCCTGATTATCGGACTTGTCGAAATTTGAAAGTAAAAGGCTTAATGAAATTAAAATGTTTGACCAATATTTGACTTTTTGGATATCGGGTCCGTATTTTGGTTTCAAAACTCGGTATAAGTCCAATACCATATTTGGTGAGAAACAAAGTTGTTTTGACGTGATTCTGACATCCGATTGTGAAAATAGAAGTTTAAAAGTTTTCTTGAAAATTTCATTTTGATTTGGTATTCAATTTGTAGTTTTAGGTGTTATTTTGTCGATTAGATCACGCGAGCAAGTTCGTATGATATTTTTAGACTTGTGTGCACTTTTGGTTTTGAGCCCCGAGAGCTCGGGTGAGTTTCAGATAGGCTACAGAATGAAATTTGAACTTAGAACCTGCTGGTGTGCTTCAGATTTTGTTGCAGGCCTTTGATCTCGCATTTGCGAGATCAGGATCAGGCTTCACATTTGCGAACTCTGATGGGTCCACATTTGCGAGCTACTCATCGCATTTGCGAAGAGTAACTGGGTCACATGATGTTCGCATTTGCGAACAATGCTTCAAATTTACGAAGGGGGTCAGGTGGGGGCAATGATCGCAAATGCGATCAATTGGTCGTATTTGCGGAGAAACAGTGTTCGCATTTGCGGACTTCACATCGCAAATGTGGTGGATGCAGAGATGCGATGGTTTTCACAATTGCGATGGATTCTTCGCATTTGCGGGTCAGGTTGCAAATGCGACATCTGCAGTTGATCAAAACTTGACTTAGACGGGATTTTTGGTTCTTTCTTCAATTTTTCAAACTCAAGAACCTTAGAGGCAATTTTCCAAAGAACTTTTCTTCCCCAAATCATTGGTAAGTGATTCGAAACTAGTTTCTTTCAATATTTTACTATTTTTCCTAAGATTTCAACCTAAAATCTAGAGTTTTCATGGTGGAAATTGTTTTTTTTAGGTAGGATTAGGGATTTTTGTAAATTGGGGATTTAGACCTCAAATTGAGATCGGATTCCAAAATAAATTACATAACCGGGCTCGGGGGTGAATGGGTAACGGGTTTTGGTCCGAATTTCGGGTTTGGACCAAGCGGGCCCGGAAGTTGACTTTTTTAAAAATGACCTAAATTGAATTCTTTACAATCGTAGGTAGTTCTTAAGGTTTAACTTGAATCGTTTGGTTAGTAATTTTCTAGATTCTATTAGTTCGGAGGCCTATTTGAAAGGAAAAGCCGTGGTTGAGCTTTGAGTTTGGTTTTTGAAGCGAGGTAAGTGTCGTGGTTAACCTTGACTTGAGGGAATAGGATTTGTTTGTCTATTTGCTACATGTTTAGATGTGGGGTACAATGTATATGTGAGGTGACTAGTACTTATGCGTTGTTGTCGGGTTAAAGCATGTGAGTGAGACTTGGTTTTATGTAATTATTGCTTTCTTTGATCATGTTATCCATGTTTAGACTAATATTGTCAAATTGATCGTTCTTATCATGTTTACGGATTTTTTGGTGATAATTGAGTATTGATTTCAAAGTTGAGGTTGATATTATGGAACCAAAAGTTGAAGAAGGCTTGTTCTTGTTATTCTATCTCCCTGTTGTTATTTGTTCATTGCTTATGGTAAGGAAGAGTGTTAATGCACGAAGCGTGATGCCGTGCCACATTGTGAGTGTAATGCACGAAGGGTGATGTCGTGCCAAATTGTGAGTGTTAATGCACGAATGGTAATGTCGTGCCATACTATTTGTGTTAATGCATGAAGGGTGATGCCGTGCCATGTTACGAGAGTTAATGCACGAAGGGTGATGTTGTACCATATTGTGAGTGTAATGCACGAAGGGTGATGCCGTGCCAAATTGTGAGTGTTAATGCACGAAGGGTGATGCCATGCCATATTGTGAGTGTTAATGCACGAAGGGTGATGCCGTACCATGTTATCAGAGTTAATGCACGAAGGGTGATGGCGTGCCGTTTCTATTGATTTATATGGTGATGTTGAGAGTAAAAGCACGAAGGGTGATGCCGTGCACTTTTCCTTGTTGTGTTTAATTGTTTTCGTTAGTTCAAAGCATATTGGTTGTTCTAGTTATCATTACTGCAGTGATTCTCTTATCTTGTATCCCCCTCCCAATATTACTTGTCTAGCTCTTACTTATTGTTATTTTGTACATATATTGTTATCTGCACATGTTTATTATGTAGGTTTCTTGTCATAGCCTCGTCACTACTTCGTTGAGGTTAGGCTCGACACTTACGAGTACATAGGGTCGGTTGTACTCATACTACACGCTGTACTTCTCGTGCAGATTTTGGTACCGACCCTAGCTGATCGTGAGGTTAGCAACTGGATTGCTTGATAGGAGACTCAAGATAGATCTGCTGGCGTCCAGAGACCCTAGAGTCTCTTCCTAGTCTTATTATTTTACTATTTCTTTTCCTTCAGAACAATGTATTCTCTTTCAGACTCTGCTCGTAGTAAATCATAGTAGGTCGTGAGTTGTTACTCCAGATCCTAAATGTATCAGATGTTCGGGTTTTATGCTATTCAGCAAACCAATTTTAGATTCTGTCTAGCTTAATTCTTCTTGTTATTGAAATTGGCTAAAATTGGCATTAAGAATACTCTAACGTTGGTTTGCCTAGCAAGTGAAGTATTAGGCACCATCACGGTCCCGACGGTAGGACTTCCGGGTTGTGACATGTTGATATTAGAGCACTATGTTGCCTAGGTCTCACAATTTATGAGTAGGCTTAGTAGAGTCTGGAGGATCGGTACGGAGACGTTTATACTTATCTTTCAGAGGCTACAAAGTTAGGAACAAATTTCACTTCTATTATTCTCTGTCGTGCGATTTTGTTCTCTCATTACTAATTGAAATCTTCTACTCTTGTTCTCTCGCAGATGGCGAGAACACATACCGCATCCTTAGCTGAGCAACAGATAGAGCCCTAAGTGGCAGCTCCTACGAGGGGCAGAGGTCGAGGCCAAGGTCGTGGCAGATGCTGAGGCAGGGGTAGGGTTCAGCCCAGAGCTCGAGCAACAACATCAGTAGTGGACCCTCAGGTAGAGTTCGGCGATGAGGTTCCAGCCCATATTGTTCCAGCAGGACCAACTCAGGTCCCAGAGTTGTTCATCGCCACCCTAGTGCTTTAGGATGCTTTGGTTCGTTTGGTGGGCCTTATGGAGAGTGTGGACCAGACTATCACATTTCACGTGACACCAGTCGTCTCTCAGGCAGGAGGAGGAGTAAAGACTCCTGCTACTCACACCTCGGAGCAGATGGCTCCCCAGTATCATACTCCAGCAGCTCAGCCAGTTGGGGTGGTACAGCTGGTTGTTGCGGCACAGGCCGCCGGTGGTGGATCAGAGATGTCTTCTGAGAGCTTATTGAGGCTGGACAAGTTCACCAAGCTCTTTCTAGTTCACTATAGTGGTGCAACCTTTGAGGACCCACAGGATTATCTTGACCGATGTCATGAGGTGTTGCGGAACATGGGGATAATGGAGACCAATAGGGTCGATTTTGTTGTGTTTTAGATGAAGGGTTCTGCCAAGAGATGGTGGAATGATTTTGTATTGACCAGATCAACTGGGTCGCCTGCTTTTACTTAGGACCAGTTCTCTCAGATATTTCTTGAGAAGTTCTTTCCCGTCACACTGTGAGAGGATTATTGCAGGCAGTTTGAGTATCTTCAGCAGGACATTATGATCGTCATTCAGTATAAGACATGTTTTGTAGATCTTGCCCGTCATGCTATTCTTCTGCTTCCTACCGAGAGAGAGAGAGAGAGGGCGAGGAGGTTTATTTAGGGGCTTGCACAGCCTATCAGGTTGAAGATGGCCAAGGAGACTGGGAGCGAGATTTCTTTTTAGATGGTTGCTAATGTTGCCAAGTGAATCGAGATGGTTCTAGCTCAGGGGAGTGGTCAGGGGTCTGACAAGAGGCCTCGTCACTCCGGTGGATTCAGTGGAGCCTCATCAGGAGGCCGGGGTAATTTTGGTATAGGCCATCTTTCCAGGCCATTTGATTCAGGACTCCAGGCATCCCATGGTGCTTCTGGTGGTCGTGGCCCTTATATGCATTATTCCGACCAGCTAGCCTATAGTGCACCACCAGCTCCTATAAGTGCACCTCCAGTCCAGAGTTTTCAGGGTTGACACTCCGGTCGACAGGGTCAGTTTCAGGGTCAGCAGTCGCAGCAAACGAGGTCCTATTATGCTTGTGGTGATCCAAGGCATATTGCTAGATTTTGCCTTCGTGCATCGAGCAGTTCTCAACATCAGGGTTCTCGTGCCATGATCCGGGCATCGGGTGCTTCAGCGCCCGCTCAGCCAGCTAGAGGTAGGGGTCATGCAGCCATAGGTGGCGATCAGGACATTAGAAGTAGAGGTCAGGCTGCTAAAGGTGGAGGCGAGCCAACTAGGGCCTGTCCTAGAGATGTAGTTCAGAGTGGTGGGGCCCAACCCCAATGCTATGCTTTTCCAGCCAGGCCTGAGGCTGAGTCTTCTGACGCCGTTATCACAGGTACTGCTTCATTTTGCAGTAGAGATGCTTCAGTTCTATTTTATCCGGGTTCTACTTATTCGTATGTATCATCCTATTTTGCTTCATATTTGGTTGTGCC